TATTAGCGTTTCGTGTCCGTTTTGACTTTGTGTGGACGGGGCCTAAGAAGGGTGTTAAAGGAAAACCAAAAGTTAAAGATTCATCCTTATTTTTATGAGCAAAATTAAAGGTAAGAACACATTTTCAATGTCAGGGTTTTCTTTATTCAGTACCTTTAAATGGTCTTGTTAAGTTCGATCCAGATACCAGAAAAGGATGGGAAAACTGAAAACTATCCCATCTAACTATTGCAGCTGCTATCACCAGCGGTTGTACTATCACACTGCTGTAGACAGACCAACATTAACTGATTCCTATTGGTAAAGAATAACCTTTTTATGAATAAGAATCTAAAAAGTATGTTGTGTTTGGAAATGTGGCCCCTATATTGTACTTTCAAAAAAATGGAAATATCTGTCTTTCAGAGGGGCCCTATTTTTGTATGTTGTCCTCTGTTCAAAGAAGTTTTCTACTAAACATTACTGAGCACATCATGACATGGAGACCAAAGGACAGCTGACAGACGAAGGTATAAGTTCAGTAGAGATTTGAAGAAGGGGTCAGGTTATGAAACAATATTAAGGCATCCCCAACCTCGGTCCTCGAGGCCCGCTGTCCTGCAGTTTTTAGAGGTTTCCCTGCTTTAGCACAGCTGATTATAATGATTGCACTAGACCAAAAGCCTGTTAATCAGCTTTCGATTAAAATCAGCTGTGCTAAAGCAGGGAAACCTCTAAAACCTGCAGGACAGCGGGCCTCGAGGACCGAGGTTGGGGATGACTGAAGGCATAAACATCTCCCAAAGCAGCATTAAATCTGTCATGTGTGAAGCATGTTCATAACATGATGTCGGCACCATGGTGTCAAGGTGGAGTAAAATGGACCAAAAAAAAAGAGTCTAAAAAAAGATGTGTATGAATACATATTGTGGTTATTACTGCTCAAAGAGCCTTTGGAAAAGTGTTTACCCTAACATTAAAACTCCTGTGTTCTTTTTTCTCATAAGAAAGAAGGCAAACTTGGCTCTAGGTCATTTTACTCCCTCACAAACTCACAGCCAAGCTTTTTGATTTCAAGGCTTCTGACTTTCACTTTTCATATATTGTTGCTGTTGTTGTTATATTTGATTCTTGCTTCAACATTATAGCGGAGTTTATGGACTCACAGATAAAGCTTGCCTTTTAAATGTCACCATCACATTTTTGTACCTTTTCTTACAGGCATGATAAAATAAAAAAGAAATTGTTCTCCCATGTGCTTAAATGCAAAGTCACTTTTAAGAACACAATCCTGCGTTAATCGTACAGTAAGTGGCAATAAACTGCTTGTATTCTATACAGCAGTTATGCACATTGTTCAAGTATTACCAAGCTAATCCCTTAAAAGTTAAATAATGTTTATGAGGCGATCAAATTAATATTCAGTCATTATGACATTAATTAATCATCAATTAGAATTTTATGATCAAGACAAATCTACACAGCACATGCAATCTTTTCCCTCACGGCCCTTCTATACACCAGGTGCTTTACTCATTAATCATTTGCCTCAACAGGAAAAAACGGCTGCTGAGCATCAGAGAGTAAATCACATTTATTGTTTTGAGTGATAACGAAAGAAGGGCGAAAAGAAGAATTAAAAAAAATATATATTATTAATAGAGGTAAATAAAAATGTGTTCCTGGGGAAACATCATTTTGGTTTCTACCTCACAAAATCAGCACCCCTATTAGAGCTTACCTGGAGTAAATTCCTTTATGAATACTAAACATATTTTTGTAAAAATAATTTAACAAAAGCTGTTCATGGTGACATTAAAGACTTGGACCCATGGACCAAATCAGAAGAAAACATATCAAAACAGTCCCCCAACCAACCTTCAAAAAAGAAACAAAATAAACAAAATCCAATGCATGAAATGCAGGGTTGAGATATTGTGTTCGTTTCAACAAGGGGAACGATCAGAGTGTGTTTTCTCCCTCACCGCTCCGGTCGCTCTGTCAACTTCAAACATATACGGGAGCTGGATTGTTATTTGCTCTGAGCAGTCTGCGTGGCTAGGCTTTTTGATTAGCAAGACACAGAAAGACAGAGAGAGTGAGCAAGACAGAAAGAGAGATAGAAAGAGGAAAGATAGGGAAGAGAGAGACAGCCTTGAGGCACATGTCAAGCAATGTCACAGATAATCACACATTGTCTTAAAATAGCTTTGAAAATGACAGCGTGAGGGGTAGGCTGTGGAGGCACAGGATTGGTGTTTAGGGATGTGAGAGAGATGCGTAAGAGAGCATGTACCGCAATTAAAGGGCAGATAAAGTTAATTTCTGACAACTCCCAGAGGGGCACTTTCAAGGGCAACATATAAAAGGTTTTATCTGAGAGCATTTGGTGAACCTTGATAGTACCACATTTTACCCTGTGTGACTTTAACACAGACTTAATCATTTTTTGTATTGAATAAAATTAATTGAATAGTCACTCATCATGTATCTGTCTGTCTGTCTGTCTGTCTGTCTGTGTGTCTGTCTGTCTGTGTGTCTGTCTGTCTGTCTGTCTGTCTGTCTGTCTGTCCCATTCTTCAGGTTCAGTCTTCACCACCTTTTCACTTATTGAATGTAGCAAAGGGAAACTTCCTTTATTTTGCTTAAGTCATAGCTGGCTTGAACGGCATTAAAAAGATCTAGAAACTTTTTGTGAAGAAACCATTAAAAATGTTTCATAACTAAAATAATACTATCCTTGATGCAAGTAGCAGTAAGTGTCATGGTCTTTGCGCTGATAGTTGGCAGTTTCACTTACTCCTGTTCATGTGTCTTTTTTGCCTTGCGCCTCATTAACGCTTATTGTTTCCACCTGGTTTACTCTGCAATTTACGCTATTTGTCTGCCTACCATCGGTGCCAGATTATTTGCGGTGTTTTGTTCAAGTTCAAGTTTTTGCCTGGCCCTTTTGTGCTTTGTCAGTTTTGTTTATGGACTGATTTCCTGGATTCTGCTGGTTTACCTAATATGGACTGTGTTACTGACCTTTGCTTGGATTCTCCTGCGGTGCCACTTCGGCTCTCTGATCCTCTGGTCTGTCAACCTGGTTTGGATTCGACTTTGGCTCTGGATATTCCCTCACGGACATTGTTGGCATTGCCTGGTGCCAGGTCGTCATCACCCTGTGCTCTACAAGCGGCTACGGCCGCAAGCAGTGAACAATCTCCCACCCGCATTTCTCCCCTTCCTCTGGGATCAGACTGAACTCTTAACCAGGTCCTGAGTTTTCTATTTCTGCAGAAAATCAGGTAATTTGCCCCGCTGACGACCAGCTGCTCGCCGTATTTTGTATTAATAAACCTTGTTTATAAAATCGTCCTGATCTGTCTGCTTGAATATTGGGTGCAAGGTTCTGAGGACATTCCAGTAAGGAGCCTTCTCAATAGGATTAGAAGCTCCATCATTACAGAGGATTGCAATAGCTGATTTTCCTTCAATCAAAAAAAGTCAGTTTACTTAGTTTGGGAATCTGATAGGGATGTATTTAAGGCTCTCTCATTGGAGGTTTTCCCAGTACTTTCCTATTGGAATGTCACCCTGGGTTAGACCCAGAATGAGCTGGGGGTTTCTAGGAAAAAAAGAATGTCAGGGTTTTCTCCTCCAATTCTTACCCAACTAATCTTAGATAAGACAAAATAGCTGGACATTTTAAGTATTTTTTATTTTTTTTGTAATTTAATCCAAAGATGAATTACATGTTTCATACAACTTTGAACTGTTAAATTAAGGATCTTAAACTTTAGTTCTCAAGGCCGGTGGGCTAAGCAGTGGCAGGGCTTGACTTCAGACTTAACAGCGTTCAAATTCCAGAGTCTTTCTTCCGATCCTCTTCTTGAGGGCGAGCAGGCAGGTTCAGACAGTTAGATTCTGCTGGTAAGTTTCTGAGATTTCAGCAGATGAAAATCTTCCAGAGTTCCAGGGTTCAGTCAGGTTTCTTCCTAGGAGGCAGAGAAGACAAAAAACTGATCAGGTTCAAATTCAAAGTTCTGGGAGTCAGAGAACCAGACAGGCTGGTTGGCTCAGGCTTTGCTAACCATAACTGGCTTAACACTCTGGCGCTGGAGAGAAGTCCTGCTGCAGCTTATAAGCTGGTCTCCTGATGACTGATGGATCTCAGGTGAGGTCGTCAGCTCAGCTCCAGGAGACCTAGAGGCGCCCTCTGCTGGAGGAAGGTGGACAGACCTCCAGATCCCAACAATGTAAGCTTATTATAAGAAGGAGTTAGGTTGTTTAGCCATTTGATTTAAGCATGTTGGACCAGGGACACATCTAAAAGTTCATCAGGCATCCAGCATTTGAGTTTGAGACCAAAGTGTTAATGTTTTAAGTGTGTTTCATCAACCTGATAAATTTTAGATAAAGTAAAATCCATTTACAGTAAATTGAATCCTAATTTAAGGTTGTTTTATGAGCCTGTCATGCTATTTCTGCAAACCAAAATATTAACTTTTTACAAGTTGGATCATTTTTCCTAAACAATCTCACTTTTTTCAAGTATATGTTTCAATAATTTCAGATAGCATGTATGATAGATAGGATGTTTAGCAGTCAAAAGAATATATATAAGATTCATACCCCTTTCTTTCAAAAATGTGAGAAAAGTAAAAATATGACAGCAAACAAAATCCCCAGTTGCAACAAATGGAAGGAAGCCCAGACTTTGCCCAAAAAGGCCATCTCTCTCTCTTTTTTTTGTTCCCCCCATCTGCTTCTTTGCTCCATAGCTGGCAAAGGCTGGTAGCTGAGCTAAAAATAATATTTATTCCTGCTGATGTTTAATGGTGCATCAAATGGGATAACAAGGGAGGTTGATTTGTGGGCCTCTCTGCAATTACCCTGCCTCCCCATTTACTTCCTCTTTAAATTAAACAAGCCATTGATTTTATGCCGAATATTATTGTGCCATATTCCCAACTGCTGTTTTGATAGAGATGTGGAGTGATTGGACTGAGACTCACACATTTTATTACACTTCAAGTAAAGGCTAAGTCTGAGAAGCAGACTAGACAAATTCATGGATTATCACTATTATAATTTTTAGATCTATTTTTTGTGTAACCCCTCCCCACAGAAAACAAGAAAAAACAAAACAAAACAATGAATCTCATTAATGAACCAGATTTTGAGGATGTTATAAAGATGGATGGATGGACAGACCGACGGATCCTATGCCTTGCTGCATGGCTACCAAGAGTTCTATTGCAGTTTTTGAAGAGCTGCACAAATTCTCTGCTCAGGCAGAAGGATCTCATAACTCTTACTCATGCACTCTATAACCGACCTTTGTGGAAAAGCTCCAAGATAAAAAAAAAAAGATATGTAAAACTATGCGTATGTGATGTGCTACTACACATTTTATCTTCATACTTTTCGGTTTGGTTACTTTCCCTACAGCCTGTTGTGGATCCCCCCTAGCCCCCTCCCCTGTACATACTTTAAAGAGGGTTTCTAAAAATCATTGATTAATGGGTTTAATTGTAAAAGCCACTCTTTTTTATATACCATTTTTTGATGATTTTGTTGTTTATTGCACATCATAAGGTTATAGCCTCATTTTGAGGTAATGGTTTTATAAAAAACAATATACGAAGATACAGAGGAAAGATAGGAACATGAGATGGGTAGCAAAGAGTTAATGGTGGTGGCAGTGTCAGAACTGCATCTAATAAATTACCATTTTTTTAGGTATTTTTAAGAACTTGTTCTGGTTGCAAAGGTTGAATTTTGTTACACAGCAATATAAACAGTTAACGTCCATGGGCGGTTTTAGACAGGGGCACTGAAGACATAATACTAAAGGATTGAAATTCTAATGATAATATGCGCTGGAATAGACATGGTTACTGATAGGTCCTTTGGATATATTTCATTTTTTTCTTTACAAATTCTGTTTTACTAATTATTTAAAAACAATAAGGTGGTTGCTTCAGCATTATTGAAATAGGATGTGGTTTTTCTGGTAAAATTTTTTTCAAAACAAATTTAAAAAAATACTCAAATTTTTACAGCTGCATTTATCAGTTTTTCTTGAGTTCTAATTCAGATTGTATAGAAAACTGCAATTTAACTTAAAATTAAGTGAAAACTATGTAAAATTCCTAAATTATGAGTGTATATTGACCTAATAAGACATAGCATTTTAATCAAACCTTATTGAATCAAAATTGTATAGAAAACAGTTATTTTAACTTAAATTAAGTGAAAACTATATAAAATTTCTAAATTATGAGTGTATATTGACCTAATAAGACATAGCATTTTAATCAAACCTTATTGAATCAAAATTTTACCTCATGCAGCTATCTTAATATAT